ACGCTGGAAGATCTTCCCTTCCTTGCCTCTCACACAGGGCCAGCCATCACCTTCATCTGCATACAGTCCCTTCATTAACCCAGCATAAAAAGGTAAAGGTACCCCTGCCCGTATGGGCCAGTCTTGACAGACTCTGGGGTTGTGCGCCCATCTCACTCAAGAGGCCGGGGGCCAGCGCTGTCCGGAGACACTTCCGGGTCATGTGGCCAGCGTGACAAAGCTGCATCTGACGAGCCAGCGCAGCACACGGAAACGCCGTTTACCTTCCCGCCAGTAAGCGGTCCCTATTTATCTACTTGCACCCGGGGGTGCTTTCGAACTGCTAGGTTGGCAGGCGCTGGGACCGAGCAGCGGGAGCGCACCCCACCGCGGGGATTCGAACCGCCGACCTTTCGATCGGCAAGTCCTAGGCGCTGAGGCTTTTACCCAGAGCGCCACCCGCGTCCCATAGAGGACATAAAAAACCCCCAAAGACAAAATAGAAGCAAAAGTACTGCTAGTAGTTTTCCAGTGGTGGCAGGACCCAGGACAGGACATTTCAGGATGATGCTTGGAGAGTAGATCCAAATCCCTCTTGTTCCATAGACACACCTACCTACAGGGCCTGAAACCACTCCAGCCCTAGAGGTAGAATTGTTGATTTCCCTTCCATTATATCCAGTTAGGCTTTCCTTTTTTAAAAAAAGAAAAATGGGTGGTGGCAGGGGGAACAAATAAAGTCAGCCCCTCCTTCCTGCCCCAAGCATAACAAGCTGCAAGGGCTTTAGGTGTGGCAGAGCAAGCAGCACAGAACTTCAGCCTTGTCATGTGTTTCCCTCCAATGTTCAGATTATTCCAGTACTTCCTACAATAGGTGTTCAAGGTAGGCCACTATGATCCTTATGTGGCTTACCTAAGATCACTCTGGGGAAATTCATGTCTGAGCTGAGATATGAACCAAGGACACACGTGCATGTGTGTATGCATGTTCTTGATCACCATGAACCAAGGACATACCCACATCATACATGTCCTTGATCACCATGCCACATGAGCTCTGATTAGCAAAATGTCATCCAACATCCCAAACCCCCAGTGGGGGAGGGGAAATAGTTCACGTGGTTGAAGGTAAGTCCTGAGAAGACTTATGTTCAACTGCAGCATGGGCTGGCTTGTTTTTTAAGTTGCTGTGTGCCATTCTGTTTTTTATGTTTATTGTCTTGTCAACAACCTAAGCATGAACATCATTCTCTTAGCATCAGACCAATCACCTGACGCTGCACTGAACAAAATGTGTTCTTACAAGTTTGCTGACGTATTTAATTTAAAAATGTGAGTAGGCACTTGGTCTTCGGTGACCCTGGCATATGTTCAGGATGCAGCAGTAGGGAAGTCAGTACAATAAACATACGAATGCTCTTTTTTCTTTTGCAGGAAGCCACAGTGACAAAGTTAGTATCAGTAGCACCTTGAGTGGAATTGTGTTTTCATGTTTTTTAAGAAGTAGCATGCATGACGGTTGTGCTTTAGAATTCAACATCTGCAGGACAAATGCAGCGCTTATTAAAAAGTGATTAACATTAATTGTTTGCATTTTTACACTGCACACAGTATGCATTTTTTAACCAAATAAGTTTTGTTGCAGTGTTTCATTTGTAGCAATAATAATAGCAATAACAGAAACAATAATATAATTATTAATTTTACTGTTATAAAAATTGTAACAATTAGACCTTTTATCCTACAGTCCTATGCATGTCTCCATGGAAGTAAGCTGCATTGAGTTCAAAGGGATTTACACCCAAGCGCTTATGTTTAGGATTGCAGCCTCAAGCATGTTGCAGTTAAACTTGAGATAGCTAAAGATTTGTTTAGTACCCATTTTTTCCTACCTGTTTCCCCTTCCCTACTTTCCTGGCTAGAGTCAACTAAAATCATTACTATATAAATTGGCTTTGTGAAAAGAAGTGAGTGCACTCTAACTTTAGCTTTGCCTGTGGCACCATCTTGCTACCAAACTTGGTAACTACTAGAAAGGGCCAACCCAAAGGACTTATGCTAACCTTTGCCATTCACAATACCTGTTAGCTTTTAACATAATAGTTTAATGATTCTGAGTGAGCCTATTATTAAATCTTACTGATTTTGATTTACTCATTTGCTCTAATTTCCTAATTAATTTTCTATTAACTTTTTCTTGCTTCACTTTTATATGCAATTTCCTATCTGTACTCCGTCATCCTGGAATCTTCTCCATTGTTTGTCTGTTGTTCTGTCCCTCCCTTCCTTCAGTAACCCTGATGAGGTGTAAGTACTTCACTAATATAATTTGCCTCTTAACTACTTAAGCATGTTTTTCCTCACAACAGTACATAAAACAATGCTGTATTCTATAGCTATTCTTTGTAATTAACCTCTGGATTTCTTAGAAATAGCTTGCTTCAGTTAAAAAGAAAAATGATTGTAAAGTTAACATCACACAGTTGTATAAGAATATACAAAATCTTTGTACACACAAATTATGCCCCAAAAGACCCATGTTAATACTATGAGCTGCTTATTTGGAGAAGGATTCATACCTCCTCCTCTCCCATTTTGTAATATTTCTTGATGGGAAATTTAATTGTGCATTGCACACATATTGAACCAATTGTTCAAGGTAAAGGACACCTGGATGATTAAGTCCAGTCAAAGGTGACTATTGCTCAAAGGGGGCTATTATACATATATCTATTTTTAATACTTTTATACTTATATTACAAGTATTTTTCCAGCTAGTCCAGGTTATGAGAAAGAAAAATGGAGAAAAGTAGCAAGAAAAACAGTTACTGATTATTTATGAACTGCCTTTTACGTAACCGTCCAGGGGTCCTTTACCTTTTTTACCTTTGCGTGTGTATTGGGTCTATTTACAGACGTATCACTAGGGGCAATGAGTCCACAAGACCCTGTGCATTTTTTGTCTTTTGTAAACAGTCCTGTTCTTCATCCTATACTGACACATTGTAGCACACAGCAGACATTGTATGTGTACAAGTAAACAGTTCACAGTACTGACCATTTCCTATACTTGACCATGTTTGTGTATATCTGTAATGACATCCTTCTTGCTTGGGACAGAAAGGCAGGGTGAGAATGCAAAAATAGAAGAATGGGGAAAATATATATTAAGTATATTTGGTTATCAAATACAACAGAAACGTTCAACTGTTTCCTCTTAATTCTTTTTGTCTTCTGTCTCCTCTCTCTCCCTCTTCCTATTTCTCCTTATACTGGACTCTTTCCATACTTCTGCCATGCCCTTCAAATGCATAAAAGGCAAAACCCACCTAAACGGTAATAGCCAAAAGCTCACCTGTATGTGTAGTTCAGCAATGTGTGCATGCTTCAAATGGAGCTTTTATGTTGTGCGAGAAAGATAATGTTGGCTTATTCATAACCTACAGATGCTGGAAAATGTTCTCCATATGCACAATCAGCCTCTGTATTAACAGATAAAGGGAGGGGGGCAGCTTCTGAATCAGACAAACTTTGCTTCTGGCTCCTCATAGTCTTCATCTTACTTTTGAGTAGTGCTAGAACAGAGGTGGAGAACCTGTGGCCCTCCAGATGTTGTTGGACTGCAACTCCAATCAGGCTCAACAAGCATGACCAATGGCTGTGGATGATGAGAGTTGATTTGGAGGGCCACAGGTTCCCCAGCACTGTGCTAGAGATTGGGGCAGTGGCAAGTCAGTATTGCATGTGGCAAAAGCAATGGTTCCTTAAGAGTTGATTCATGAGATGCAAGGTAAAGGTAAAGGGACCCCTGACCATTAGGTCCAGTCATGACCGACTCTGGGGTTGCGGCACTCATCTCGCTTTACTGGCCGAGGGAGCCGGCGTACAGCTTCTGGGTCATGTGGCCAGCATGACTAAGCCACTTCTGGCGAACCAGAGCAGCACACGGAAATGCTGTTTACCTTCCCACCGGAATGGTACCTCTTTATCTACTTGCACTTCATGCTTTCGAACTGCTAGGTTGGCAGGAGCAGGGACCGAGCAATGGGAGCTCACCCCATCGCAGGGATTCGAACCGCCGACCTTCTGATCGGCAAGCCCAAGAGGCTCTGTGGTTTAGCCCACAGCGCCACCCTAAGGATAAAACAAATGTGCAAAATTCCACTCTCATTGGTGACTTGTTTCTTTTTTAAAAAATGTTTCTTTTAAACTTGTGCTGTGGCTCCTTTGCATGCAAGTCCCTGGTACCTAGATTTTAAAAAGAGCACTTTAGACGCTGGACCCTGAGAAATGCTGCACAAGTATTTCATGTGTGCTGTGTGTCTTGTATAAATCTGCTAGTGTAGGCATAATAGGGAAGGAAGTTAGCATTAGAAGCATTCTAAGCAATGTTTACATCTGGGGATCATGGAACCTCCCTTCTTTACTTCTAGAGGTGCAAAGCAAGAATATGGTATCTCTTTAAGAGGCTAATGTGTGAACCAAGACAAGAAAAAGAGAGAAAATGTTGCTGCACGTTTTGTAATGTTAGCTGATGTTCATGCATTCCGTAAGGTAGAAATCGATTGCAAATTACATCATATACAGCCATTGTGACAAAAGGGCAGGACTGAATCTTAAATGGATTTATTTGCAAAAATGAATCATACATTTCAGTGAAACTGATTTTTAACGCAGGTATTTAGTGTCTCCATCTCAGTCAGTGGCTGTGTTCACATGTGATGCTTAACCACAGTTCATGTTTTAACTATGATTTAATGCAACCAAGCAGTGTACTGGTGGCTGTTTTAAAAAACGTGTTTTGGCACTATAAACCAAGTACAAACTTCAAGGATTTACCATTTGGAGATAAACAAATTGTGAGCCAGGGTTTAGATGGTGCAACAACCCCAAGGTATGTTAACTGTGGTTTAACATGACGTGCAAACCAGTTTAGTATAATAATAATAATAGCAATGGCAATGATGCTGTTTACATTTTATTTCACTTACTGGTGTTCCATCTTTTCTCTATTCTGTTAGTCCACCTCGGAAGCATGTTGTGTATACAAATACAGAGTTTTACCACCCACCCACTCACAGCAACAACAGCAAGAAACGATTGATTGAGGATACTGAGGATTGGCATCCAAGGACAGGAACTACCCAATCACGTTCTTTCCGCATCCTTGCACAGATCACTGGCACTGAACACAGTGAGTTCCACTTTCTGAATGGTTGTGGCATTTGGCATTGTCCTATATCATGTATTATGGAAGCATCAGCAGATAATAGTCAAAAAAATAAAAAGCTGTGTAGTTAATTCTGTGGGTCCAATAGCAGTGGGTACAATAGCAGTGCAGTGTGTGCTATGCAGTAGACCAACCCCTTTTGGAAAGTGAGGAGAGTTTTCAAAGTATTTTGAGAGTTGGGTGGTGAAAGAATAAAACTTCCCAATGGGGCAGGATGAGTCCCTTGCATGAGTCTAAACAGCTCTTTGGATCCCAGCTACCAGGAGAGTTTGCTTAATGTTTTCTATTACTTTTGCCAGTCTTTGAAAGTTACTCTGAAAAAGTTTTTTGTTGTTGTTATTGTTCTAAATAATAGCCTGAGTCTTTCCTGTAAAGCTTGGTAGTTACATAATGTGATATTTAATTTCTCAAATGAGATTATTCCATACATTTAGTCAATCAATCCCATTTTACAAATACTTTTGTTTAAAAGAGAGTGAGTGAGAGGGAGGCTGCATATATACCATGCATTTAAAGTGCAACAGACTCTTGGGAGATGTAGTTTGTTAAGGGTGCTAGGAATTATAAATCTTTGGGGGTAAACTACAGTTCCCAGAATTCTTAGGTGTGTGTGTGTGTAATGTGCTTTACATGTATGGTGCGTAAGCAGCCAGACAGAAATGTCAGAAAATATTGGGGAGAGGTGTTGTTGATTAAAAATGGTGACAAAAAAGTGGTAAAAAAACCATTCATGACAGTTTAACAAGTGGTAATTGGTTAGGCATATCAAAAAGCTTAAAGCAATAGTTTTAAACCTCAGGACTAAGATTTATAGATTAAATCATTAATAATGATAAGATTAGTTGAACATTGGAGTGGGTTGCCCATAAAGAAAAATGAACCTAGTAGGTTTCCTTTAAAAATAGGGCACCCTACCTAAGACACTTGTGATTTTAGAGGATGCTAGATGTCATTATTTTTCATAAAGGAAATTAGGCTTGGTGGTTCTCTGGATTATGGCAGGAATGTTAAAAAACAAAAACTTCTGTGGTGTTGTGATGGAAATGTAATTAGTGGTTTATTTATTTGCAGTGAAAGAACCAGAACCTGATAATTCAAAGAAAGCAAAGTAAGTTATTGATCTGAAATATAATTTGATGTGTTGCATGGTTTATTTTTGATTAATAGTGTGAAAAAAATTCTTCATGTGGGTGCAAAGTTCAAGACATTTTTAAAGTTTTTGCACGTTGTTGTAGATAGCAGCGTAAGACGTAGCAGTGCCCCTTTTATTCTCTTGACATACTTTTGCAAGGATGAATTTTGCTATAAAACTTGGCCAATTTTCACATTTTCTCAGGCTGTGTCTAGAAATGGAAAGGCAGGAGCAAGAAAGCAGAGAATAAGATTTATACTGAGTTTTTAAAGGTGCTTCACCTTGAATATTGGTTACCCTGTTCATCTTTAAATTACCTTCATAACTTCATTCGGTCCCTTTCACTCATTAAGCAAATGATCCTTTTCTCAAAATCATGTGGTAGTTACTAAACTTTGGCCCACTTTTCATAGAAGTGGCATGAGACTGTTTCCAATTACGTTGAATGTTCACTTCGATAAGCAAGTGACATTACCAAGGAGACAGACAGGTGGGATTCTAAAGACCTCCAGTTGTTTGAACAAATGTACATGTGTGGTAATGCTTTCTCTGTAGCCTGTACCCATTCTGTCATGGTTGGGATCCTCTTGGTAGACCACTTACTCCAGCTTCCATTAGTCCCAACCAGCAGGGACAGTGGTCTGGAATGATAGTACAACAGCATTTGAGGGACCAAAGACTCTCCAGCCTTTGGTCTCCACTACAGACATTCAGCTTTCCCAAACTTTACTATAAGGAATACAAAGTGGTGGCATCTGCCTTGGCCAAGGTAGGTGGGCAATGGGACCTGCTGGATTACCAAGTGGAAGCAGAAAGCCTTACACACCCTTTTTATTGTCTAAACCTATATGTACTGGATCAGTTCTGAATCAGATGTAGTTGGTCTGCCCATCACTAGTTCGTAACAGAACATATTTTCTACAACCAGTCGCAGCAGATTTATAAGTGCTTGGGATGTATGGAGTGTTTGTTGTGGCTTTAGCAGTACATCAAAAGGACGGTATTCCTTGTGATATACTGGCCTTGCAGTTTATGGTGCAATTAAAGGCAAATATGTTGGCAGGGCTGTGTTCAACAGGCCTGTGTTTAGATGCATGGAGTTGGCATTTGAAAAACAATCAAGATTCTGCACCGGGAAATGCTAATTTTTGTGACTTGTGTAAATAATGCAGTTTGAAGATTTGCATGGCTTCTTATATTACACGATTCTGATTTAGCTAGCCATGGGAGGGACAAGGATAATAAAGACCCCCCCCAACAGCTGAAAAACCAGGCTTTGCTCTGGCTTTTGAGAATTCAGTGGGTATTAACCACACATTGTCAAGTGCCTCTTGTCAGCCTTAGGTGCTAGAAGTTCTCTTTCTCTTAAAACCCTTTCACTTCTATGAAATTTGCATCCCAGTGCAAGTACAGTTAGTGTAACCAAGCAGAGTTGCTAAAAGTGCATGGAATCCTGCATGCTCAGGTGCTTGCATGCAGTGGGCTGCGATGCAAACCTCTTCCCTCTCTTATCTATCTCTTCTGTCACTTCTTTCCACAGGGAAAAGGTTCCCCTTCACATCATAGGTCCCAGATACACAAAATTACGTGACTGGCACCATGGCGTCTCAGCACGTGTCCTTAACGTCCAGTGACTTGCCAAGCTTTAAAAACAAAGCACGTGTCCCTTCCTTCTTCCTCTTTCTCTTCCACTTGCTTTGCAAATAAAGAAATGAAAACCATTAGCTTTGATTACATGAGAAATTATAGCCTTTTCTATATTTTTTTTTCTAACAGTTTCCTACTGATGTGTAAAGAATGAGATGAACATGTTCTGTTTTAAAATCAGTATCTAAATAGGCAGCCAGCACACAAGTGGCATATAGAATATTCTAAGTAGCTTGGAGAAGAAGCTGTTCTTGTCTATTGCAGAGAAAGAATAGGCTGCAGTAGTTTAACATGGAAAAGGGACAGTACATTAAGAAACCATTCTGCTAATTCTGTACAGCTTTGTTTGAATTTGGTGAAAACAGTTGTTAGTTTCCTTATATAGCAGCTTCAGAATCAGTAGTAGGTGCATTTTAGAGCGGGATGTAAATGTTTCAAATTCATTAAAGGAAAAAGAGGCCATTTTGGGGGTTTTAGGAATGTTAGCATAATCCTCTCTACTCAACTTGAGAGAAATGTCACTGTGCATACATGGTTTCTAAACTCTCCTCGGCTATAAACCTAGGAAAAATAACACTGGAACAGGGCCATGTATAACAACCAATGAAAATAGTATGAGGTAGTGAGTGTAGGTTTTATTTATTATGGGGTGGTTTTTTTTCTTTGTTCTTAATAGCAGCTTTGATGGTGCATATTACTCTGTAATATAATGTATTATAGCAAATACATATTGATTTAATTTATGCTTTGTGAAGCTTGAAGAGTATTTAATAAATGTTACCTTTAAGTTAATTTCTTCCCTCTTGCCTTATTCTTCAAGTCTTTTGAACTCTGTGCACAGCACACACATTGACAGTATTGGCAAAGAAAGCCGCTATATACCTGTAGTGTTTTTAGAAAAAAATATGTTTGAGCAAATTTCTTATAGAAATGCCTGCATTTTGTTCCCTACACTCAGCTGAAGACATGGTGCAATTAAACAGTCATACTTTTACTGATAGCAAATCTGCAACTTGTAGACAACGTAGAAGTGCAGGCAGTTCAACTCAAGCTAGATGGGATAAATTGCTAAGTGGCCAAACAAGCGGCCAAACACTTGGCTTGGCTCATAAACCAGCCAGTTGACTGAGCCCTTCCTAATCTGCTCCCAACAGCAGTGCAGGGGAACTGTAGACCTCTCCACTCTAACTTGCCAGCTATCAGCAGAGTATGTCCGTCTGGCACAAGGACCCCACTTCCTTGCAACTTCATCTTGAGCCAGCCAGGAGTGAGGTGCTATCCCTCACCTGGGCAGCTGCATTGAGGAGCTTGCAATTAATCGATCCTACCCATGATTTTAGCCCACAAGCCATGATCAGTGCCAATCAGCCAAATTATAGCATTTGACATAGGTGGAAAAGAAGAAGAAGGAAATAACCAAAGAGCCCTGCAAAAGAGTGAATTAGGGTGGGAGGAATGTTTTTACCGTATTTCTCTTTCCTCTTTGGTTGTAAGTCGCTTTGGATTGTCCTGGACAAGAAAAAATAACTGACTGGCTGAATGAATGAATGAATGAATGAATGAATGAATGAATGAATATCCATCCTAACTGTAGGGTACATGAGTTGCTGCAGAGTTGAAGATGGGCAAAGAGGAGGAGGCGGGGGCACCTTTTACTACAATGCCAACTCTTCCTCTTCTTTGCTGCACTATGTTCTAAGCATCATTGTCAATGTACTGTTTCCACACATGATTTCCATTCCAGAGTTACATGGGAAGGGCAAAACCCAGTGAAGCAACATTTTCCTACTAGCTTTAAGCTCTGCTTAATTTTTTTTTAAAGATACTTAATTAGGATCCTCCTTCAGGAAAAAAAATGTTTTTATTTATAATTACAAATAAAGCAAACAAAAGAAAGCCTTGAACCACTCCAGCTTCAAAAGTTCTCTTCTGCAGCATTTACCGTATTTTTCTCCCTATAGGATGCACTTTTTCCCCTCCAAAAATGAAGGGGAAATGTGTGTGCGGCCTATGGGGCGAATGCAGGCTTCGCGCAGCTCTCTGCAAGCCATGGGAGCCTGGCGCTGGGCTCCCATGGCTTGCGGAGAGCTGCCTGTTCTGGGGGCTGGGGTTGGGGGAAGCTCAGGCTTGCCCCGCCCCAGCCCCGCGCCTGGGGGAGAAATAATTTTCCCCCGCTTTATTTCCCCCCAAAAAAACTAGGTGCGCCTTATGGGCCGGTGTGTCCTATGGGGCGAAAAATACGGTACTTTGTGGGGAATGCAAGTTCTCCAAAGTCAACTGCCTAACAATATTTTCAGCTCACTATTTGTTGACTTATCTCTAGGGCAAGTCAAACAGGAAATGGAGATTTGAGGTAACTGCTCACTTGTTTGACATTAACAGCCACGTGTGCAGAAAACTTGAAATATGCCAGGGCAAGCTGTTAAACTACTAAGATGTGTTTCTGGGCGGATTTTTTTGATACATTATAGAATTTTTAAAAAACAAAAAACCCCAATAGTGTGCTATTTGTGATCAAATTCTGTTTGACTCTTTCAAAACCACAAGCTGTTTCACTTGGGGGGGGGACCTCAATCTCAGATTGGTTTGATTAATTATTACTTCATCATTTTCAAACGAACTGAATTGTCACGTTTGTTGATGTAATAAAATGACACATCTCTGTTTAATGCATGTGCACTGCACCGTAGAGAGTAGTCTTCAGGAATGTTCGAAAACACCACTGTGCTGTGTATTCATTTAGCTGGTGAAGTGTCTGATTCAATGTAAACTCACTTTTGTTATGTGGACGTATTGTGGCTTTTATGTAACATTTAAAGTGAAATTTTTGGCACTAGAACGTTTTACCTTATTTTACAGTTTTGCAGATGTTATTGTCAAGAGTGTTTTTCCTCTGTTTTTTGGCCCATTTTGTAGACTGTATATTCATTATGACCTAATCATAGGTTTAATTTTCATAATAACTATCCCTTCAATGACCAGCTTGGTTCATAATCAAAAGAATGCCCTATAGCAGCTAAAGAAACTGAGCTATGAAGTCAGTTTCCAGTTCAAATTTTACCTCTGTCATGAACTCACTGGGTGACTAGGCAGGCCGGTCTTTCTCATCCTCCTCTGTCTTCCCATTTGGTATATGGAGAGTAATAACCATAGAAATGTAGAGTTGGAAAAGACCCTGAGGGTCATCTAGTTCAACCCCCTGCAACACACAAATCTCAACAAGATCATACATGGCATCCAACCTCTGCTTAAAAACCTCCAAGGAAGTAGTCCTCCATCTTCCGAGGGAGTCTGTTCCACTGTGAAACATGTCTTCCTATCAGAAACTTCTCCCTGATCTTTAGTGAGAATCTCCTTTCTTAAAACTTGGAGCTATTGGTTTGGGTTCATTCCTCCAAAGCAGAAGAAAACAAGCTTTATCCATGTGACAACCCTTGAGATATTTAAAGATGGCTATCCTTTTGTCTCTCAGTTTCCTCTTATCCAGGCTAGACATACCCAGTTCCCTCAACCATTCCTCATAAGGCTTGATTTCCAGACCCTTCATCACCTTGGCTGCCCTCCTCTGCACATGTTCCAGCTTGTCAATATCCATCTTAAATTGTGGTGCCCAGAACTGGACACAGTGTTCCAGGTGTGGTCTAACCAAGACAGAATAATGACTAGGGCCACATTTACACCATGCACACAAAGCACACCCTTAATAAACTACATCTCCCAGGATTATTTGAGGGAAGTCATGACTGTTTAAAGCAGTATCATGTATGATGTGAATCTAGCCTTACCCTTACAGGGTGATTGTAAGAAATATTTCTAGATAATGCATCTGAAGTCCTTTGAACACTTGAAAGTGTCATACAGATGTTATATATCACCATTATTTATTACTAGTCTAAAACACTTCCAGGAGCCACTTCACATAGGGTTGACATATGTCGTCTTTTTCCAGGACACTTTCTCTTTTTCATGGGTAGAGTCGTCATAGCTATCCATAGTTAAAAGTAGAAGATGGCAAATGTGTCCTTTTTTTGTTCTTTAAAATATGGCAATCCTACTTCCCAAATTCAGAGGGATGAAGGTGGAGCAAAGAGTAGTCATTTCTTACACAACTGGTTCCTCTACTTTTTGGTAATATTTGAATAACCAAAGGTGGAGGGTGTGGTGGTGCTCTGTTTCAAAGGTTACAGAGAAATGCTGGGAATTCTCCAAATATAGAAAGCCACTGCAAGACACAATGGATGTGCAGAATGAATAGTCCCTTTGCAATATTATCCAAAGGATAACCATGTTAGTCTCTTGCAACAAAAACAAATTTATTGTTGCCTAAGCTTTCATGAAGGGACGCGGGTGGCACTGTGGGTAAAACCTCAGCGCCTAGGACTTGCCGATTGTCAGGTCGGCGGTTCGAATCCCCGCGGCGGGGTGCGCTCCCATCGTTCGGTCCCAGCGCCTGCCAACCTAGCAGTTCGAAAGCACCCCCGGGTGCAAGTAGATAAATAGGGACCGCTTACTAGCGGGAAGGTAAACAGCGTTTCCGTGTGCTGCGCTGGCTCGCCAGATGCAGCTTGTCACGCTGGCCACGTGACCCGGAAGTGTCTCCCGACAGCGCTGGCCCCCGGCCTCTTGAGTGAGATGGGCGCACAACCCCAGAGTCGGACACGACTGGCCCGTACGGGCAGGGGTACCTTTACCTTTACCTTTACCTTTAAGCTTTCATGGATATAGCTTCATGCATCTGATGCAGTGGACTGGAGCCCACAAAAACCTATACATAATAAAGATGTTCAGGTGCTGAAACACTTGTTTTTAATGATAATAGGCACTGTTCACCACCAAGAGCAACTTCTTGCTGAAGGCCTGTTGAAATGAATGGCTTTTGCTGAGAAAGTTAAAAGTGAATATTTCTGAGTTTGTTGCAAGCCAATATAAAAACAGTGTAACAAAAAGTATTATTCTCTGGCAATTGCTCAATTAAATGTTGGCAATTAATCTCAATTACCACTGTGTTTTGGAGACTTCTGGTGGCCCTCCTTATTTGCGGAGTTTGATACAGATCAGGAGCACACATAGCACAAATCACTCTGAAGACCACGTTTGCATTTATATTAATGCAGATAGGATTCATTGCTTTGACAATAGTTGTAACACGTTTTCTTTTTCTTTCTCCCCTTCCCCCTAAAGTTGTAAGTTGTTCTTTTCTGTAACTATTGCTTTATTTTTCAGTTTCCCCCCTCTGGATAACATATAGTGCACATTCTCTTTTCCTTGGAACTCCTCTTGCTTCCTTTTCTCTCTTTGCTTTCACATGACACATATCCCCCCCCCACTCCTTTCTCTCCCCATCTCCTACTATAGGCCTGCGCCCACCCCATATCTCAGCTCTGTGCTTCTTTATCTGTTCGTTTCCATAAGAACAGGTTTTACTGCAGTTCCATTTCTTAGCTGCTCCCCCTTTTTGCTGCAACCCATAGCATCGAAATACTGATCAATTCTCATTGTACGTGGATTTGTGTTGCATTTGTCCAGTGCATCCAAATCTCACCCAAACTCCCCATGCTTCTATTTTGACTACTTTGAATGGCTGGAAAGCAGCTTAGATTGCTCCAAGTCCATAACTTTTGTCATCACTTTTGTGTAGTCCAAGAAAAACTTTTTTCCCCCTGGCACAATGAGCATTCAACTTACCTAGATGCCTGAGCCCCTTCTGCTAGAACACTTGAAAGTTCTTAATAACTACCAGATTCCATTTCATTCTCAGCTGTAATCCATTAGCTCTGTCTTTGAGCTACAAATATGGGTCTGATGCAGGGTCCCCCCCTTCCCCCGGTGAACGATGTGTCAATCAGTTTTACTGCAAAGATGGTATCTAGTAGAGATGTACAATTTCTGGGAAATTTTGAAGCTTTTGAAGGGGGGGACATTCCTCCCAGGTTTGCTTGTTTTTAAAATATATTTTTTGGGGGGCGGGAGTTGAAAAAATGCAATACTCTTTAAAAAGTATTTAAAGATGCATATTCTTTATGCATCGAAAGTTGCTTTGTTAGTCCAGGAACCTAAAATGGATTATGTGTACTTGTACCACATATCTCAGTCCCTTCTTTTCCCCTCCACCAAGACTCTTGTCTCTATCTTGTTTCCTCCTTTTCTTCAGTCTCTAATGGCTATCTTTCCCCCCTACCTTATCTCTATTTACGGAGTTCAGTGGCCAGAGCTGTCTTTACCCAGGGGTGCAAGGGGTGCGGGACAAACGGGCACCGAATTCTGGGGTGTACCAAGCTCCCGCCACTGCAGCCACCTAAGCGCTTAACTATCTACCCGTTATGAAATAATAAATAATTTTTTTCAAGCCATAAAAACAAAATACATATATAACTAGGTATTACCGAAACATATACCTACTCTTTCACTAAAATACTTTCAGCTTTGTGCGCTCATTTACCAAAGACACGCCGCACCAGCGGCGGCACTTGTCATTCACAACAGCAGCGCTTGTCAGACTCAATGATGGCGCTTGTCATTCTCAATGGCGCCGTGCACGCAAAATTAACTCTTATATCATAATAAAAGTTAATTTGGGGGCTAATTTGGGGGTGCTGGGCGGATCTTTGCACCCCGGTGGCGCATATGCTAAAGACTGCACTGTCAGTGGCAACAGCACACAAATCTTAATCCCCCCCAGCAATTCACATCTGGATGCTTGTTAGTAAGCAGCATAGATGGCTGGCTGTAGCAGACCAGGGTTGGGGTGGGGTGGAGGGGGAGACAACTGCACTGAACAGAATCAAGGGAAAGGGTGAACAGATGTACTGATGCAGGCATTTTCCTATCTACACTCCCATTATCGCCCCAGTATCGCTTTTGAGCTGGCACCCACAGCACATTTAGCAAAGAAAAAAAAAGTTAAAAAAAGTGAGAGAGATGGTTGGATTGAGACTTACATCTTGCTTTAGAAATTTTGAAATGGGTGGTACAGTATAGAGATCATTAAATTACGCCACACTGATCTCAGTGGAACTAAAGTGTGGCTAACAGAGTGATCCATATTGCTTGCTGCTGCAACCAAGGCTCTACAAAACACGGAGCTCGCAAACAGATCTGTAGCCCACTCATTCATGGCAGCTGCAGTGGAAAGTGAGGCTGGTAGATAAAATCTGAGCTCTGTGCCAATTTTAGGTAGTAATTTGGCCCATAGTAGACCTGATGCTGTCAAGTGCTGGCTGTGGAAGCACTTCAGGAACCCAGGCCAGCTAAGCCTTGCCCTCAGAACACCCCTTTTGGGTCCTTTCTGCTGGACTGTGCTGGCAGTGATGCTGCCAGTGAACCACCTTTCAGAGAGCAGGAAGGGGTATCTCTTCCAGCAGGAGGCCAGCTGAGCTGGCTGAAGTCAGTGGAGGTAAGTCTATACGCAATCCAAGTCCCCCTCAGTCGAGCAAAAGAGGGGTTTGGATTGCAGCCTTGCTTAGTCTAGGTTCAGTGCAAAATTAGTAGCTCAGAGTTTATCTTTGTGTCCTATGGCTAAAGCAGTCCTCTTGCCCTCTGTTATCAAAATGATTGAACTGGTTGCTGAAATTCTGAAGACTCACATTGGCATTTCCTAGAGGTTTAGAAACTCTGTTAAGCTAGATATTATATAGCCTCAAAACATGTGACTGGTTACGTAAATCGTGTGTTCTCTGTTACTATTATGAATAAAGCATATCTACAGAACTAACTAATGGATTGGAAACCCAGCATTCCCATACAGTAGCTACCCAGACCTGCGAAATACCTGATGTGTCAGAACAACCACCGTTGCCAGCTCAAAGGTCTGTTTCTCTGTCCTTGTTCCATCCATCCATGGTTCACTGACATGACTAAACTTTATTGTGGAAAACCGTTTTGCACCACACATGAATGCACATGACACTTGAAGAAGTCATTATTATTCTCAAGTAGTTAATCAGACTTGCACTAAATTTGATAATTAATCACGCATTATCCTTGTCACAATTGTCACTGCTTAATGGCACTGCTTTATCACTGGACCAGTGGATTCCCACTCCCTATTTTGGAAAATGATGGACCCAATATACTCACTCCCCATGAATGGTACTGGGCACAGCCAGCACTCCTGTGTGTTATGTGCATGGGAAACTGTTAATTGCAAAAGAAGCATTATTGTGAAATTTTTTTGCACAGGGCAATGCACACAGCAAAAAGCAGGGTGCTGTGGCAAACTGGATTGCTCTTATTCATTAATTTTAAGAGAAACAACAACTTAAGAGCTAATAGTGCGAATGAGATATTGAAGCTGTATATGTGTATTCCATTGGCCAAAATAAAAGTTATTTCTGTATTGGACTATGATTTGTTCTGAATGCCCTTGCCATTTTTACTGAAACTTCCATTATTTAATTTCAAGTGTGTTTTCAAGGCATGCAAAACATACTCAGCTTTTAGGATCTCCCTATCACTGTCACGAAACAAACTTGAAAATTCTCACCAAGGTCTGAATTGCATTGTGAATTCACCTTTGACTGCTCCAAATAAGTTCTAGAAAATCTAGAAAAAGCTGCAACCTTCTGCTTTGGCAGTGGCTACCTCTCAGTGCCAAACTCTTGTATACTTGTTGTTACCCCGAAGGTTTAATAGTTTTGTGCACAAATGCCACCTGTCAAATCACATTTAGATTGTAGAATTTAACATTTTCTTCATAAACTTGACTTATTCTCTGATTTTGGGGGCGAAATTGAAACAAACTGCTATCTATCAGGGCAGAAGCAACTTCAAGTACTTCTGTGGTAACAGATCCAGCTCTTATCACTATTTCTTCAACCAATCTTCCTGGTCCTAATCTTTCTATTACATCTCACAAGAGGTAAATACTTACTGTTCTTTCCTGGATTATTAGTTTTGAAAGTTCTTCCTTTGCCTTATTTACTTCCTGTTAATGGGAAAGTGAGTTATCCCAGCTGGCTAACACCTTCACATCCATCAGTGGTGAACCCTTCTTATCCTGGGGGGGGGGCACTCCCTTGACAGAAAACCTTTAGGGGTTGTATGTTTGTGGTGGACAAGGCCAGAGACAAAAAGTCAATGGGGCAGTAGATGCAAATCCTACCTTTGAATATTAGGCGGTATTCCAGCCATGCAAAATTTCAGACTCACCCCCACCGCCTAGCTCTTTTCTTTCCAGACAACCATTACCACAGTTCAAGGACACATTCCAGCTCAGGCATGAATTGCAGCCAATAAGGGGCATGGCTGGCTGTGTAGAGTCCCAGATTAGTTAGACAGGACTGCATTTGGCCCCCAGGCCTGATGTTCCCCACCTCAGACATAGCTAATCCCAGAAACTGCCAGCACAAATAACAACAGAAACTGTATATCCTTGTTGGAGTCTATGAATTAGACGTCTGGTCAATCGTGTGTACCTCTAAAATTCCACCACTGATTTTCACCATAACTGGTTAATCTAGCCCAGTGTTTCCCAACCTTGGGTCTCCAGTTGTTTTTGAACTACAACTCCCTCATCATCCCTAGCTAGCAAGGTCTGGGATGATGGGAACTGTAGTCCAAAAGCAGCTGGAGACCCAAGGTTGGAAAACACTGATCTAGCCCAGCATTTTATCTTCCTTGTCGACAGACAGATATTTGCAGATCCTACATGAGCAGAAATTGGTTGGAGATAGCCATGCCTGTAAAGTTTGTCAAATTAACCGCGTAGTATGGGAACTTAAGCCAACTTCAGATACATTTGTGCAATTGCTGGGGGTGGGGTGAATACTAAGAGAACTTCTGGTGTTAGAAACTTTGTCATTTTCTTCTTCAGAGAACTTTTTTTCAACAATCCATTGGAGGCCTTGCCCAAGTGTGCACCATATCCACCTGCTACTGTTCATATTTTAAGTGATAGCAGCCAAGTAGCCATTGTGTCCAAAACGGCATCAACCTACACTAGGTAGTTTCATACTAATTTATTACATTCTGTTCAAAGCATATCATAAATTATTTTTAAAAACTGTTTATTACTTATTCTCTGAAGCTCGCAAAATGCCTGTCAAACTTTGGTGAAGAACAGCGAATGTTAGGTTTCCTAAATTTTCTCTCTGCCTGCCTGTCCGCCTCTTCTCCCTCTCTCCTCAACTTTCTTCATAGTCCAACTTCCCTACTTCTGAGACCTATCCTACAGCTCTGCTCTAGCTCAGGTAGTTGCTCTGCCCTGGCTTCTGCCAACCTAGCAGTTCGAAAGCATACCAGTGCAAATAGATAAATAGGCACCGCTGTGGCAAGAAGGTAAACGGCATTTCCGTATGCTCTGGCTTCAGTCACAATGTTCCGTTGCACCAGAAGCGGTTTAGTCATGCTGGCCACATGACCTGGAAAGATGTCTGTGGACAAATGCCATCTCCCTTGGGCTGAAATGAGATGAGCACTGCACCCCAAAGTCGCCTTTGACTGGACCTAACTGTCCAGGGGTCATTTACCTCTACCGCTACCTCTCCCTCAAGTGACAGTCTGTATCCAGAATGAGTGAGAAGGGGGAGGTGAGGTATTTCACTCTGCTCAGACATTCAATGTGATCAAGAGATGGAAGTTCAAAATGTCTCTTATGTATGATCCACTTTTGCTGGGGGCGACAACAAATTTCTTTGAAGCTCAACCAAAAGGAAATGCTACTTGCTTTCATATCACAGCATTTGTGTTTTCTCCATCACTTCCTGAAAAATTCAAACAAGTCACAAACTATTCTGAATTGGTTCTGAATGTAACTGATGGCATTGCAAATGCTTGCATTTGGCTAGTCTGAGAACATGCAGTGCCCTGAGAACAGATAGTTCAAATGTTCCTACAGTAGATATGCTGTTGTCCACAAGATGGCAGCAGGGCTCAGTAACAGCAGAAACCACAGATTTTCGGATCAATAGTTCCCATGAGCATCAACGTAAAAGGCAAATCTCTGCTTGCAGTGGTATTTCGTTAGACACCCAAGTTAAAATAGCTTCTGTACATGGACCTAATCTTCAGTGATGCTGCCATCTCTCCCATCAGCATGTATAAGCATTTTTGTTGTAAGCCGGTTAGAGGTTTTCTTACACTCAAACGGTATATAAATTTTGTCAAATGGATATAGGGGACATGTTCTGTATGACTGTTGAAATTTGCATTGTATGTACTCCAGACATATGCAGTCTGGTTGGTATAACACTGGAAATGTTGGCGCACAGGCTTTCTTAAAATCCTACACTGACTGATCTTTCTGAGTTGTGTCAAGTGACCCTGACTCAGTAAATTTTTAGTTCTCCCTTCTGACCACCATCCAAGTTCTGTGTTAAGTATGGTAACATTCAAGTTCAGGGAATGAAATTGGGCGTATAATTTTTGTCAGTTACGAGCTGGAGGAGTGCCATCTCCGGGGAAGGAAACCATGACTGCCTTCGCATTCTCGTTATCCAAAGTTGACTTGAGTTATCCAAAGAAGGGGGGGGGGATTGGACATTTGGCAAATATAAACACCGGATATTTGTATACCACAGGTCTCTTGAACAGATGTAGTTCATTAAAAAAAACCCCGAAAACCCTATCGAGCACCGTAACTGTTGGTTACGCCTTTTATTAAGTAACGTTTAAATAAATAAGTATGGTATTTGTGTTTAATGTATCATAATTCTTGTTGAATTAAGGTCAAGTAGGATAAAAACTGGTTCTCCAGAGCTTGCCCCAGCTCCTGCAAGGTTGGGTGCAAATGAAGCTGATAATAAAAGGAGCCTACCCCTGACTAGCACAGTGGCAACTCAGACATTTGAGACCCTCATGTCTCCAATTGCTCCAGAGGGATCTACTTTGACAGTCCAGACTGGGAAATCTGCACTGGTGCCCCCTCTTCCTGGCAGGTATTGGAATCCTAGAATTTTGAAGACCAAATTACTTCCTGTGCCCTTTTTTAAAAAAAGGGAAATAAGGCTCCCTGTATTTATTTTGTGTGTGTGCAAAAGCATGACAAGGGGGAGGTTTTGCTTTTATCCATAAAATTTAAACTGTAAAAGTAAATTCTTTTCTTTCTGAAATGCCAAGAATACATTGCAGAAAAGTTTGTCCAACAAAAACAGAACAAAGAAATTTAGTAAATATGGACGGAGTGACATTTTCAATAACAGTAAGTCTTTGGCCAGGTAAACTGGCCACAAGGGAATTATTGGAAGCTTAACCCTAAGCTATAACAGCAATGCTGACACACCTCTTCTGATTGTTCTGGGGAGTCTAGTAACTTTGAATATATATATAATGCTTCTGAATACTAATGTTGCTCAAAATAATCTCATACATTCCCCCCACCACCCCCGGTTGCTGTTTTTATGAGGGGTCAGCTAATTTTCTTTTAACATCTGAAGTGAGTTATTCATTACAAAATTCAAGCTCTGTGTCCCAATGACCTGAAACCAAATACTCCATGCTTAAATTCATGGAAGACGATCAGAGACGATCATGCATCAAATTTTCTTTACAATTGCCTTATAAAAGCCACCATGCTGATTTGAAGCTTTAAATGAATTATGGAGATACATCTTAAGAAGATCAAAAGGAAGGTCTAAACCTGATACAAAATTTAAGCTTGCTTAAGCCTATTGAAACCTATGGACTTCAGCAACCCCATTGAAATCAGTGGGGGCAAGCATGCCGCATTCTGTGTTGGATTTAGATTCAGATCCTCTATTGATGACGGAAACTGCTCCAGGCTCAATAACATTCTTAGGGAAGAAAAAGTGGGAAATGCATAAATTCAGTCAGCCAGGCCTTGCTGATTTTTCCATACTGGGTTAGTAGTGCAGGCTGAACTTCACTTTTGAATGGCTACGATTCCAGTAACTGCATATCAATCAAAGATGCACTTAGATATTGGGAGAGCTATGCTATTGACTAGTCCAACATGTTCAGTACTGTCCTCCTGGTCGGTCGGGAGACTCAAAGTCTTTCTCCAGCCCGAACATCACAGTGACTGATGCCTCAGAGACATCAGCACACTTCAGGATCAGCAGAGTGTTAGCAGTCAGCGTGACAGACAGCAATATTGGCTAAACTACTTTATTTACATATAATACACTCGGAGCATTCTGACTCAGCTCCTTCCTCATCAGCATCAAACAGCAAAAAGAGAAAGAACACAGGACAATAATTCTACATCATGGAAACACAGTAATATAAACATCCTGTCTCCGTCACTTCCGACTATGTGGAATGAAAACATACACCGTCATGTGATAAAACAATCCCATGACTGCAACACGGGGAAAGAATCCGAACATATACACACACATACAATGCTGCATTATTGCTATTAGATTAGTCCAGGTAGTCTTTCAGGAGAATGTGAAGGCAACAGTTTTCCTCTTTTGTCTCGATTAAAATATGAGAGCCATCACCACTACATGGGTTGAACATAGTCAAACTCCCATTACAGAGCCAACTTTAAAAGTCTCTGAAGCAGTTATGAAAATTTCATTAATGAAATTGTATGCTAGGTGGCTTAAATGCCCCCCCCCATATCATAGAATCATAGAGTTGAAAGGGACCCCAAGGGTAATCTAACCCAACCCCCTTAAATGCAGGAATCAACACGTGGTCCCCCATCCAATGTGCTAGTGGTTTTATTGCTGCTTTGCTAGGAAAGAGCTTTGAAATTACTTCTATAAATGTGTCTTGTATATTTTATTTCTCATTTCATTTTTCTCTATCCTTTCGCTTCCTTGCTTTTTCTCCATTTGAACTGAAGCTTCTACCCTATGAAAGAGCCACTGGAAAATCTACTGGGAAGTAATGTAACGTTTGCTCCCATCCCCTCTACTTTACTTCCAAAGGTGGACTCGTCACAAGTTAAGAGTGCCGCTGCTGCTGTGTCTGCTGCAGTTGCTGTACGGAGGTCTGGAATATCTTTGTATCTCATGGAGGGTGGGAGGTGGAATATGTTCACTTGCAAGTGGTGAAATTCAGTGGTACTAACTTAAAAGAGCTGGTTCAGACGTGATGCTAAAACAAAAGGTTTGCTTTAGTATTCTTTCTCTGAGGTAGCTGCAAAGATCGTTTCAGAAAGTTCTACTTATGTTTTTAAAATACTGCCATTTGCCATGTTGTCTGAACATGGATAAACTGGCTGGTTAATGAAAACAAGCCAAATTCAGATGACAGTGTTCAACTACTGTTAATCTAAAACAAGTGGAAGCTGCTATCACCATCATGGCTGCCCAGTAAGAAACCAGAGGGCCAAGGCTCTGTTTGTTTTGCCTTAGTACATAGTTGTGTGAATTCAACCAGCGTACTAGCATTTTACAATACACTCAAGATTCATGGACATAGTATGGGATATTATTTGTCTTTCGAAACCCCACATCATTTCCCCAACCGAGCGAATTAATTACTTGAACCTGCACCAGAGGGAGGGAATATATTCTTTAGTAATATAACTCCTTTCAAATATACACAGCAGAAGCTGAAAAGAACTGAATTGTAAGTTAGCTCTGCTCATTTCTTGAACACGTCACACAAACCAAAATTCAGTCTTTTACCTTGGGGTTTTATAATGGATGCAGAATCCAGGATGTGTCACTCTAATTATTTAAATGAACCCATACAAGGTGATTTGGATGCACTTAGCAGTTTCTGTTCATTACATTTGAACAACTATCCAGCCCAGCCTTCTAATTTTGATACAGTGATGTGTCCAAAACTTGGAATTATCTGGTTCAACATAGAATTTTGCATGCCTCATAATTCTCAAGCAGCAATGTTATTTCCCTCAAAAAGAAATATTTGCAATGAACGGAGAAGCATATGGGAAGAGGGTTTTTTGTTTTGTTTTTGGCTTGCTATAAGTTGAAGCTGTCACGAAAATACAGGATAGAAGGATAGCTAGTAGAGCTTAGTAAAGCCTTTGCAGATGCTATTATTGGCTGCTAGGATTAGAAAGCTTCTCAGAGCCTGGTGAGTCAAATTTGGAGGATGCACATCTTTCCTTTTCTCAAAGGCAAAGGAGCATTGTATATTACAACCAGAATCATGAGTCAGTTTAAAATTATTGGGGGACAGGGGCGGTGTTAGGGGGTGACAAAAGGCCCCTGAAGCCTGGGTCTCCTGCCCTTCCCCCTTCCTCTGTCCCAAGCCCTTAAGTACTTGTCAACACCCCTGTTGGGGGGCTGTGAGTAGAGGAAGCATTGCCTTAGAGTTGGCGACTCATTTCTGAATTGCACTGGATAGTTTGCCTCTCACAACTGTAGCATGTCTAGTTAACCTTCTACTTTGTGAGTAAACCAGCTGCCAAAGTAAATTCTCTTTAAATGCTTACCAGACTCTCTGATCACAGTACCTATCGTACACTGTTGGATGCCCTTCTCATTACTCCTATTATCAAACCACCAACTCTGGAAAGTACAAGACCATCAAGACAATCAGCAAGTGCTTTCGAGATGCAAAGAAAGTGGAGACCGTAAGAGTGTGTGACAGGAATGGTTTTGCACTCCTTTGACTTCTTATCTTCTAACTTGTTAATGGACTGTCATGAATTAATTCACACTTACGTATACCACTCATGTAGTACTTAGCTCCAGCAATGGAGGTCTTCTTGCGGTTTATTTTCACTAGTACTGATCAGTCACTATTAGCAAAATATCCATTACAACCTAATAGAATGGGACAGGGAATCTTGCTGCATGGGGGGAAGCTTTGCTGTGGGGGGGGAGGTGGGGGGGCACAGAGCTGTTAATCACTCTAAAAAGCTGTCATCATAAATTGTGCAGGTTGGTGGTGGCCCTCCAACTCGTTTTGAATTTGTGATGTGCTGCATAGCACCGAACCTTTTCCCTTAATTTAAAAGAGGTGCGACCTTTTTGTTAACCGCAAGGTGGGAAAATGTTACCAGAGTGGAATCAATCGTTTTGAATGAGGTACTGGCAACAGCTCCATCGGTGAAGAAGCCACATTATTGTATTATTGGAACAGAGAGTCTCTCTTCCTCAGATATTCACTGACTTAATCTTATGAGGCTGTTACTGTCGGTAAATGGGGAGCAAATAAATGGTTTTATACACATTTGACAGCTACTCCATAAAATGTTTCATGTTTCCTTGTGGGGTGGGACATTTTGTTCTGTGTCATACTTCCTGACCACAACTATGGTAACATTAGACCTAACTTTCCTTGGACGCTTTATTTAACCTACAAACCAGACGTCTGTGTTTTGATGGTTTAGATGCAACTAGCTCATTTATTGTGTCTAGCAAACTAGTTTCCTCTAGCTTGGCACACATGGACCATTTCACTATTAACGTGCCTCAGGAGCAGGCATAATTCTGAATATCCCAAGTCACAGTATACAAAGGATTTTGTTTTGTTGTATCATAAATTCCTTAAGAGCAGTGAATGTCTGTTATGTATTCCGCAGCCAGATGAGTGTCTCCCCCCCCCCTTTTTTTTTGATGCACAACTTCTTTTTTTGGTACTTCATAAAACTTTGTCCTTGTCCCTCCCCAAATCTGGGTTGTTATGCCAGTTCTAGGCCAGTTTTATAATATATGAAAGTACTACCATATGTCTTTCACAATAGTGAGGTGCAGAAAAAGGTTGGAAAGAGGGAACGTTTTCAAAAATCGTAGGCATATGAGAAAATATTATGAATCTACAGGAGTATAGGGTTTCACGTTTCAGCAGCACAGTCAGTTGAAAGCAGTCAGTCTTCAAAGGCTTGTTCTATCATTAAATAACAGGAGTTGTTTTTGTGCTAGTGTAGCTGCATATGTGCTTCCATACATAATGTGCTTCCATACAATTGACCGCTGCCATATACTCTAGTCATGTGTCGGTTGCCTGTGGAATATCTTTGAATTGACCCATCCAGTGCAGAAACACAGGGGCATGACACGAAAAGTTTCTTCACTTCCTGCACCTCTGAAAACAGGAAGAGTGGTTGGAATGGACGTACCCTTTAGACTAGGACACGAGTGGGGAAATGTCACCCAGTCAATTGCTTATTTACCACCACAATCTGGCTACCACTGCCTGTATGTACCGTATTTTTCGCACGATTGGACGCACCGGACCATAGGACGCACCTAGTTTTTTGGGGGGAAATAAAGGAAAAAATTTTCCCCTTTATTTCCCCCCCAAAAGCAGGTCAGGGAAACCGAACCAGGTCGAGGAACAGCGGGATAGTGGCGCTGCGCCTCCCTGCTGTCCCCCGAGCTTGTGGGGCTGGCTGATGTTTGCCTGGCGCGCGGGGCGCTCTGCTTCAGGGCGCCCCACCCGCCGGGCGGCAGGCTGCTATCCGCAGCGTGGGGAGCCCTGTGGGGAACTCCTGCAAGGCTCCCCACGCTGCGGATGTCTGCCTGGCGCGAGGGGCGCTCTGCTTCAGGGCGCCCCACCCGCCAGGCAGCAGGCTGCTATCCGCAGCGTGGGGAGCCCTGTGGGGAACTCCTGCAAGGCTCCCCACTCTGCGGATGTCTGCCTGGCGCGAGGGGCGCTCTGCTTCAGGGCGCCCCACCCGCCAGGCAGCAGGCTGCTATCCGCAGCGTGGGGAGCCCTGTGGGGAAGTCCTGCAAGGCGTCGCGGGGCTCTCCCAGGGCTAGCGAGACCTTGCCGGCACCCAGAAGCTTGGGGCGCGCTGAGCTCTGCACGCCCCAAGCTTCTGGATTAGCGCGGCGCTTCGCTAGCCGTGGGAGAGCCGCGCGACGTCGCGGGGCTCTCCCAGGGCTAGCGAGACCTTGCCGGCACCCAGAAGCTTGGGGCGCGCTGAGCTCCGCACGCCCCAAGCTTCGGGATTAGCGCGGCGCTTCGCTAGCCCTGGGAGAGCCCCGCGACGTCGCGGGGCTCTCCCAGGGCTAGTGGAGACCTTTCCGGCACCCAGAAGCTTGGGGCGCGCTGAGCTCCGCACGCCCCAAGCTTCGGGATTAATGCAGCGCTCCGCTAGCCGTGGGAGAGCTGGGTCTCCCACGGCTAGCGGATAGCTTCCTGAAGCCTGGAGAGCGAGAGGGGTCGGTGCGCACCGACCCCTCTCACTCTCCAGGCTTCAGCGAAAGCCTGCATTCGCTCCATAGGACGCACACACATTTTCCCTTGCTTTTTAGGAGGGAAAAAGTGCGTCCTATGGTGCGAAAAATACGGTAGATGCAATGCTAACTCTCTGCAAACTGATTTGCTAATTAGGAGCCAGACTCAGAAATGTGGTTTTTCCTCCTCTTCAGAGTGTGTACTGGGGGAAGGGCAGCTGGAGTCTGACTTTGGGGAGGGGGGCAGTGGTCTGAGGACCTGTACCAGCCAGGAGGCAAGAATCAGAGGCGCAGGGGAAGCTTCAGAGCTGGAGAAGAGGAAGCAGAGGCAGGCCAGACAAGTGAAGGGCCAGGTGCTTGCCCACCCTCTTCTGCACCACTGTCTCCCAGTACTAGTAGAGAAGTGAAGTTGGAAGAGCAGAAGCAGCTTCCTTGCAGGTGTAGTCTCTGACTAGGTGTTCACAGCCCGTTGGGGAAAGGTACATAAATTGGTGGAAGGGGAGTGGTCACCAGTTGCCGCACCTGTTCCACAGAACACGGACCTAGGAATAGCTCCCTAAGGAGTAGATTGCTGTGTGTAGGTCTCCAGAAGTGACTGTGTTATCTTTGACAATAAAGAGTTCATTCTCTGCTGTGTGCATTATTTAGATGGGAAGCGCCTTTGACAAACATGACTGTGGCGACCACACAGGGCCCCCGGACGTTTGACAGTCTATTGACCCTGTGCCACCACTGTGATTGCTTTCTTCGCTGACAACACCCCGTTTCTCATGGGGACACGCGGAGTCCAGACAGTTGTTAACATAAACAAACAATCAAGTTTATTTTTAAATGCAGGAACAAGCTTATGGTTTCAGCTAGTTTTTCTTGACAGTTTCTTAATCTCAGTTCCTAACAACTTCAAACTGATTATCCCGGACGCTGAGGTCCAGCGCCGAGGGCCTTCTGGCTGTTCCCTCATTGCGAGAAGCAAAGCTACAGGGAACCAGGCAGAGGGCCTTCTCGGTAGTGGCCCCCGCCCTGTGGAATGCCCTTCCAGCAGATGTCAAAACGATAAACAACTACCTGACATTCAGAAGACATCTTAAGGCAGCCCTGTTCAGGGAAGTTTTTAACGTGTGATATTTTACTGTATTTGTGGTTTTTATGGAAGCCGCCCAGAGTGGCTGGGGAGGCCCAGCCAGATGGGCGGGGTATAAATAATAAATTATTATTATTATTATTATTATCCCCAACTATCTATCTGATTCCACCTAACAATTCCTCTCACTCTCTCACAATACAACTCGACCAACCCACTGCCTATTCCTCCCTCTTCCTTCTCCAATTCCCAAACCTCAACTGACTTTCAAAACCTCCCACTCTAACTTTTACTCCCCCCTTGCATTCCCACTGGCCAATCACATCACACTCATTTAACCCTTTCCTTATGACCCATCCTAGGAGGCAAACGCCACATAATCAATCAATTTTTTAAATAAACTTGAATTGAAACCATAGATTAAAATGGAACTGGAAACTATGGTTACGGGTGAACTCTGGTTTCTGTTGGTGCACATTTAACAAAGGAAGGGAGGAGAATGTCCTTGGAGAGGGAAGGGGGGAAGCATGTGCTCCTTGGGCTCCAATTTGAAAATTGTGTAGGGACTACAATCTAGTTGCAAAAGTCCATTGGTCATGTAATGAGAGAAGGCAGAGAGAACTTTGTGCACATCTGTCCTAGGGATGCATTTCCCTGGGAACTCAGAAGTCCAAGGGTAGATATCTAGGATTTTGCTGCAGTAGCAGCCCAAACACAGGTAGGTGGCATTGTAAAACATGCAAGTATAATTTGCTCTGTTACTTGTATCAGGCAAGTAGCTGCCTTGGCTGCCTTTTAAATTGTGAATTTCCAAACTCCCTCTATTAGCACATAATTGACACCTTTCTAGGATTGTAACACTAATGATTTAGTGTTATGGAGGAAACCATGGTGTGTTTTGAGGAAACAGATTATGCTGCTTCTGAAAAAGAATGCTTTGTGCTTGATGCAACTTGGATTCCCACTTCTCACACCTTTATTGCGTGTGCCCTTTTTAACAGAATCCAAGGCAAAAAAAAACTTGAATAGCATTACCCTATTTGTTCTTTTTTACCTCTTTGTGAGCCTGGCAGTTCCTCCTTTTTCCTTATAAACCATTGGAAACACTGTTACTTTTAGCAACATAAACATTTACCTTTGTAATTTACAGCGGAAAGTTTTTTTTAAAAAGAGCAGAATAGGATTATGGGGTGGAAAGTAAGAATTTCTTCTTCCTTTGTGTCTCCTGTGACCTTGGCACCAAGCATTTTTTTTATGTTGCCATCGTGCAGGCATCTTTCCTCCAAACATTTCTGTTACGCCTGCAAACATTATGAAATGGCAGGTTTATTTTTACATCTGTTGATCTCTGTTTAACATTCCAGA